TGTGTGTGTGTGTGTGTGTGTGTGTGTGTGTGTGTGTGTGTTCTTTGACACTCTTTGAGATTACTGTCCACTGCAATCCAGCTTCGATGATCACTAGAAATACTGGCAGTATGATGCAACTGAATGATGTCCTGGATCTGAATTCTGCCTACTTCTCATCTATATGACCCTGGACAAGTCACAATGTCTGGGGGCTTCATTTACTTTACTGATAAAATCAGAGTTTCAGAAGAGATGCTCTCCACAGCTCTTCTAGCCTGAAGCCTCCCCTGAATCCCAGCCTCACATCACCTACTGGACAGGTTCAACTGGATATCCCAGAGATGTCTCAACCTCAGCATGTCCAAAACAGAACTCCTCACCTTTGACCCTAAACCTTCCCCTCTTCCAGCCTCCCCATGACTGTTAAAGGCATGACCTTTCCTTGGAGTCATCCCCAGATCCCCACTCTCACTCATCCCACCTTTCCAATCTATGCCCAGATCTACACTTGGAGATGGATTGATCTTATGCAGTAGTATGCAGTGTTTAACAATGGGCTCTCTAGAAAATCCCAAGCCATTTTTAAGCTTGACCTGAATTATTAATGTTTCCTCCATCACTTTCTTCCATCTAGGCAATAAAAAAAGCAAAACAAAACAAAACAATAAATCAAGCCCTGATTTGTAGCTTTGTTGATTTCTGAGGTGTAAATGCTCACACTGAAGATGTAAAAATCCAATGAATTTTTACTGGTTAGAGCAAGCTCCAATATACCCTTGTGTGGTATGGGGGTTATCCTGGGTTTCTAAAGGCTGTATCAGCAGAGTATCACTTCTGTTAGATCCTACAAACCTGGAAAGGCATTGGGTGTGGATCCAGAAAAGCAGTGAATACCTGACTCTGAGGTCCAGCTTAGCTAAACTGGGAGAGGGTCACGTGGTTGGCCAAGGTGTGATGAATGTTTCTGTCCACAGTAACTGGTGATAATCATCTACAAAAGAACAAGGTGGGGGGAAGGGTTGGGATCTACATCAATAGACTGAGTACCCAGAATGATGAAGTTATTAGTCCTTGAAATAGTACATGCATTGACTGCACACGTATAATCTATATCAAATTGCTTGCCTTCTTAAAAAAGGGGCAAGGGAGAATTTGAAACTAAAAATTAAAAAAAAATCCCAAACATTAAAAATTGTTTTACATGTAATTGGAAAAATATAAAATATAAAAATTTTCCAAAAAAAGGAATATGTGTATGTGTGTGATTGGAGACAGTTTTGCATAGTGGTTAGAGAGCTAGCCTTGAAGCTGGGGAGACCTGGATGCAGGTCCTGCTGCTGTCTCATGCCAGCTGTGTGACCCTGATCAAGTCACCTCACCTCTTAATACTCTAATCAATTCTCTGAGTGGAAGAGAATGCGCCAACCTGCTTTGGTAGAAGGCGTTTCCCACTTGAGAGTTCTCTAGACCCATCATATATGAACTACCACTTTACATCAAGTATTGTTTCCTCCAGCAGAGCTTTCGAAGCAAAGGAACGGCTCTCTCAGTTACTGTAAGAGTGTATGGAGACAGCCAAAGACTGCCTGGAGACCTCTGTGTGAAATCCCTATATTTATTGCCTAAGTGACCTTGGGTAAGTCTCCTTCTTCCCTGGGCTCTGATTCTCATCTCCAAAATGGAAAGTTGAACCAGAACGCCTCTGAGGGTCTCTTCGAGTTCTAGATCTGTTCTAGATCTGATCTAGATCAGATAAGTGGCTCAACCTCCCTAGGCCTCAGTTTCTTCATTTGTAAAATAAGGGGATTAGCCTAGATCAGAGTTGTCAAACTCACAAAATTCCCCAGCAGTGTCCCTAACCATATTAAAACATAATTGGGAGATGCTTAACAAAATAAATAAAAATACAAGACATAATGTTAATTTGTGGTTTTCTAAGTCAATACGAAGCCTGAAAGGATTCCTTTCTATTTGAGTTTGACACTAACAAACCAGGTGACCTTGGAAATCTTTTCCAGCTCTACTTTGAGCCCACAATCCAGGCAAAACACAAATGTCCCCAGGTTTCTCCAAATGCTTTGTATCTGGCGCAATGTTTTGTTCCCTGGAGATTTTAGTTAGGCTCCTTGAGATGGTCAAATTTGTCCACGTACTTCCTAAAAATGTGGTTGACAAAACTGAACGAAATACACCGGCAGGTTGAGGTTTTCCATAGTACTCAACTGGGAGATTCTGACTGGGAGATTCTGTTCCCAGCCGAGTTCTATAATCACAGGTATGACCTAATGCTAAAAACCAAAAGTCTTCACTCCAACAGGTCGCGCTGCCACTGCCCTGGCAGTGTATCAAGTACATTCTCTACTACCTGACCCGGTGTACCACAGGGTGCTTTTGTTATCAATAAGGGAATGCTCCATCCAAGCAATCATACCTTTAAGTCTTCCCTAACACAGCCCAATGCAACTGGTGAATGCTCAGAATGCCAAAATCCATGGAATGTTCTCTCAGCCAAGTTCAGACAAAACTCATAAATGTGCTGAACATCAAGAGAAAGCTCTCATTATTACTCCTCCAGTACAGTAGTCAGGGAATTGCGTGTATTCTGTGTCATCCCCTTGAAATTATATACCATTGTCCATATAGACTTGAAGCAAACATTGAAACAAATACCAGTGAAGGTATGAAGTTTCCCCGGGCTGTCTTGAGGCAGGAAGAAAGAATGCTTAGATTTCCAGATGAGACTGTATGGCACCTCCAAGAAGGGAGCCAGGAGCACCTGGGTTCAAGTCACACCCAGCCCTTGGGCAAGTCCACTTCTCCGTGCTGTGGGCTTTCTAAGACTGTAAGTTTCTGAGAAGGTGCTAACCAGCACGGTATAAGAAGTTTGATCACCTGGGAGTTCCCAAGACCAGCAAAATCACAGGCCTACTCCGTATGCTTACCTATTTTGTATATATTTATATGTGCATATGATGACTTCCACTGTAGAATATATACTCCTTGAGGGTAGGGGTGAGGTCACTTTGGCTCCATATCCCCAGTATGGATAGCACAGTGCCCCCTTCATAGACACTTAATAAATGCTGATTGGTTACTTGACTGACCAGCGTTAGAATGTGAGCTCAGCTACTTACTACTACCTGTGTGACTTGGGGTACTGGTCAAACAGCACCGGGTCTGGAGTCTGAGGACCTTGTTCAAATCCTTCCTCTATCAGGAATTACCTGTGTGACCTTGAGCAAGTCACTTAGCCTGTTGGCCTCAGTTTCCTCATTGGTCAAATAAAAAGGTTGAGCTATCTCTCTTTCCAAGGACCTCTACGGTTCTTTTCACTTCTAAATCTATAATCTCAGGATCCAAGTTACATTTCCTTCCCTGGGCCCCCCGGTTTCTTTCTCCGTAAAACGAGGGAACTGAATTAGAAGATCATGCCAATTGTCTCAGATGACTAGCCTGATTTTAAAGGGGCCCCGCCCCCCTCCCCCAACCTGAGCTCAAAGGGGCCAGGAAAAGGTATCCTCCCTCAACTTTTCCATCTGTATATCACACCAGTGACATCTGCATTCTCCTGGACTCAACCTGCATATATGGCTTCCTGGGCTGGAGAGGAAGGTCACCCTATGACAAAGTTTCTGCAGTTTCTGCATTAGAAAGTACCTTGGGGCTTCAGGGAGAGGCAGAAGGAGGGGTGTGTGTAAATTCAGGAGGGGGAAGATTTCCCGAAGACTCAACACTCGCAAGTAAGACCAAGATGAAAAACACCGCCTGCTGGTTTAGCTACATTAAGCGGGAAATCCATAACGCCCTTAAAAGAGGCCGCATTACAGTTCCCATCGAGTCTCTGAGTCCCCAAGGCCAAGTGCAGCCACAAGCCGAGCCAAGAAGTGAAACTGACCAGGAGAACTAGGCCAGCGGCAGCTGCGATCCCTCCAACATTCCAAGCTCCGCCCAGCTCATGTCACTGCGTTCTAATTCCGAACGCTCGGCCCGGGACTGCTTCTGCCATTGGTTGGCAGCTATGTCAGTCAGAGGAAAGAACGCAAGAGGGAAGCGGGGGGGGGGAAGGGGAAGGCTACATTGTAACAAGGAGAGAGCGAGAGTGGAAGAAGGAGGCGGAGGCAGCTGCCGCCCCGAATCCCGCAGCGGTAGCAGCTACCTGCCGAGGGTTAACCCACCTCGGAGCGGGGGCCAGCCTACTCCCCCCCGCCTTAGCCCGACCCCAGTCCCCTTCCCCATTCCGGGCCCCCGGCCACCCCCGAGCCCGCCGGAGCCAGTCCTGCGCTTCCCCCGCCAGCGATCCAGCCCCGCGGCCTCTGCACCACCGGCCCCGGCTCTCGCTGGCAAACTGCCGAGCGCTCTTCGAAGCCATTTTCATTGGCCACATTGGCGACCAGAGGGGCTGAGCTGACTCACCTTCCCCGAGAATCCGGCAGCAGCCCGGCTCGGTGGACGCGGGAGCGGGGGCGCAGGGGCGCACGGGGACGGCTCGCCCCCCCTGGATGGCAGCCCCCAGCGGCCGCGGGGAGCGCCCCGGCTGCCGGCTCCCTAGTCCCAGGCGAGGGAAACTTTCACAGCCAGCCTGGGAGCGGCGGCGGCGGCGGCGGCGAAGGCGACTCGCTGCTTCTCTCCCTCCCAGCTTTGACCACCATCTTATTAGTACAGGAAATGACATGGAAAACGGAAGAAAGCGGCGTTTGGGGCCGACGCGGACCCCCCAAATCAGGGGCCGGAGCTGGGACACACCAGTCACTTCCCAACTTGGCCCAGAAGGCGCCTCCCGAGTTCCTCGGGCTCCCACCCGGAGCCCTCGCGAGCCGGGGGGGGGGGGGGGGGGGGGGGGGCCCCCGCCCCCGGGCGGGGGGGCTTTGATCCTATCCTAGCTCGGGGGGGTCGGGGGAGTCCGCGATGGGGGCTGAGAGGGGGGCGCCCGGGGGGGCGGAAGGTGAGCACAACTCTGGGATTGGGGCACATTTCCCGGAACGGAAAGTTATTATAGAAATGTGTATTTTTAAAAAGTCATTCGGAGAGGGGCTCCCCTCCATCCCGGGCTGCCCATTTGGGGAAGGCAACCTCAAGACCTTGGAGGAAGAATAAACACGGTTATATTTTTAACCCTTTCGAGACCCGAACCAGAACACCTGTGCTCCCAACCCCTTTACCGTCACCCTCCACTTTCCTTTAACCCCTGAAGTGCTGGATTGCTTGAGTAGCAAATGCAATTTCGGTGACTCTCATGGGGAAAACGGGGGTAAGCACAGAGAATTAACTATTTAGAGGTGGCGAGAGGGCAGAGCCGCAAAATCGCAAGCATCCTCCTCTCCCTTTTTGCCTCTTACTGAAATGCTTCCAAAGAGGTTTTTCTTAACGAGTTTGATTTTTAGCCTGACTTAGATAAGCTGTTAAATCATTTAGCTGTCCTGTGCCTCAGTTTCTCCCAACTGCAAATCAAGACCAGGTTACTTGGGGGAGGGGTGGACTGCTTTGAATGGGAGTAGTTACCGTGCGTTTCTACAGTTTTGGAGTGTACGAAGTGTACCCTATGCGGGTAAGTGGGACAAACATTGTCAGACACACCCCCGACCCTCTCGCCCAGCTCGGAGCAGATGAGGCTACCCATGCAAGGATAGGTGAGGTGACTTTCCCGGCCTCCTTCTGGGACTCAGTTTTTCTAACTCTAAAATAACTGGGTTGGATTCGATGAACTCCGAGGTTCCCTCCAGAGCTAAAAATGCTTCGATCCTGAGGGTCTAAGCCAGAGCCGAAGGTCAAACAAAACCAACAGCTCTCGAGAAGTTCAAAACTCGTCCTTGCCAATTATAGAACGAAGGATAGGAAAGGGAAATGGGTTCAATTTAATAAACGACAGCAATATTTTTCTAAGAAAACAAACTTCGCTTGGAGCTGCCTACCAATTATGTAGCCAATAGGTCGCGTGCTGCTGCTGCTGTGTGTATGTGTGTTTTCCTCCCAAACGATTGAATGATCTTTATTCACGTTTGATAAGTTAGAGGTTACGCAGGGTGCATCAAAGTAGTTAGATCTGAAAGGGACAGTAGAATATAGAAGTCAGAGCTGGAAGGCACCTTGGAAGTCCGTTAGTCCAATCCCCTAATTATTATTATTTTAAGAAAAATGGTGAAATGAATTGCCCAAGATCACAGGGCTGGCCAGCCTGGGGTACCATTGAGTTGCACTGATGATCTGAGGTCCTGGGAGATCACTGCCAACTTCACAGGGTAATTAATGGTCGGCAGACCCCTTGATCTCCCTGAGCCTTAATTTCCTCCCCTGGAGAATAAGGAAAATACGATGGTGGAAAACAAAAACACTCAATTTGGAGACATTATAGGCTCATCGCTTGAGAGATGGAAAGGACCTTAGAGGTCATCTAATCCAACTTGCTCATCTTACAGATGAAGACCCAGGGAGGTTGTGACTTGTCCAAATTCTCCTGGGTATTAAGCCTCAGAGGCCAGATTTGAACACAGATCTTGTGGAGCCAGAGTCAGCCAGTGCTCATTCTACTGTATCATGAGAAAGACCCAGACTTGGGTTCCAGCTGGACATTTGCTGGTTAGGTGATCCAGGGCACTCCATTCCTTTGTGCCTCAATTTCCTCGGTGGTGATTTAGGGATTATAATGCTTACACTGCTTATACAACAGGTATGTTGGGAGCATGCCATTTGGTATACCTTAAGGTGCTATAAAAATGAGTTATAATCTGTAAAATTAAGATAATAGTTCTTGTACCACAGACCTCATAGGGCTAGTTGGAAGATCAATTAAGATAATGACCTTGAAATTATCTAGTCACCATAAAATGCTATGTAAACATAAGCTATGAGGTGAGTGGTTCAAATTAGAAGTAACTGAGTTGGGATAAGAAACTAGGTGGTTATTTCCATTGTTGTCCATGCTGGCAGTCCTGTCGGATTGGTGTCTTCCTCCACCCACCCAGGGAACTTCTTAAGTGGAATTAGGGACATTTGGCTCATCTCACACTGAGTCACACTGTCAGGATATCAGCAGTCTTTTGGCACCAATATGTCCTGTGTAATGAGAAAAATAGAGAAGCTTGGGAGAAGTGTGTAATAGATGGCATTGGATATTTGGCTTTGGATAAATGGGAGTACGGTCACCACACCACTTCATTTGTTTTCTTGGCTCCTGGCAAGAAAGGCGTGCATTAATTCTGGATCTTTAAAATGAGATCATAGAATGTGGAATGTCTGAACTGCATACGGGAGAGCATGTCAGAGCTAGGAGGGTCTTCTGTTCTAACACAGAATGTCAGAGCTGAGAGGAACCTTAGAACATGGAATTCCAGAGTTGGTTGGAACTTCTTAGGATATGGAATTTCAGAGCCGGGAGGACCTTCATAGAACATGGAATTTCACAAAGGGACCTTAGTTCGTGCCTAAGAAGATGGGGTAATGCTTCCAAAGGTCAAAGGAAGATATAAAAAAAGTTTTAAGGGATTGAAAAGTGGTTAAGAGAGTGAGGTCCGTGACTTTAGTGGCTCTGGAGGCTTGTTGGCCTCACATTTTGTTTTATATCTTTTTCATGCATTACAAGCAAAGTATGGCCATCACACCGTCACCTACCATGTCCAATCAATTTCCAAGTCTGGTAGAGTCTTAATCCATCACACCTGTCTTGTCTGTCCCCTCCTCTTCAATGACAAAGGTGCTCCCACAGCCCCTTGTCACCTTTTAATCCCCCCTCCCACTTCCTATCGAAAGTTCTCACACCCTCCCAAAAGTTCTTCATAATTTGGCTACAGCCTACTACTAGGCTTACTGCCCCTCATTTCTCTTTATACTCCCCCCTCACCAACACAATCTCCAAACTTGGCATTCTACGTCCTACTGTGCCTTTGCACAGGCTGTCTGCCTTGCCTGGGGCACATGTCTTTCTTACTTCTGCCTCATAGAATCCACAGCTTCATTCAAGGTTGAACAGACCTCACCAAATCCAGATCCCTCATTCTCTAACCTCCATCCCAATGACAGTGCCCTCCTCCTCTTCAAAATTTCACTTAGTATCCTTTTTACTCCTTGATGTAAATGTGTCATCCTTTCCCTTCCATTCCTGCCCCCCCCCGAAACTGCCTCATAAATCCTTTCAGAGACTCCCTTTCTTTTCCTTTCTTTCCTGAGCATAACACTTAGCACATAGCACATAGCATGTGGCACAGAGTAAGCGCTTAGTAAATGTTTATTGAATTGAACGTGGAATATTCTTTCATCCTTCCATTAACTGATATTAGGTGCCTATATTCAAGAGAAAATGGTGTTGCTTAGTGGCCAGAGGGCCAGCTTTGGAGCTTGGAAAACATTGGTTCGAGTCTTGGTTTTGATCCATACTGGCTCTGTGAATATGGGAAAGTCACCTAAATATTCAAGGCCCTGGCTACTGTCTAGAACTGTCGTTTTACAAATAGGCAGTTAAAAGGAAGTTTTATCCTCCCTGAGTTAGTTCTCTACTCTAAAGTAGTTATGGGTGTTGACAAAGAAAACAATGTACAAGTACCATACATTGTATCATTTGCTGGAAATATAAAGATAGAAATGACCTAGAATCTACCCAAGAAGAGCTTATGACCTAATAGGAGGTGAAGATTTGTAGCAAATCACTGTGGTCCTATAAGAGAGAGTGAGAGAAGTGCAGAGAGGTCCAGACGAAGATCTGCAAGTTTCAGTAGGGACGGATAGTAAAGCACACAATGTCAGAGCTGGGTTTAGAGAACATTAAGATACTCAACTGGTCAGCTAGGCGGTGCCATAGTGCATAGAGTACCAGGCCTGGAGTCAGGCCTACTAATCTTCCTGAGTTCAAATTTGACCTCAGACACTACTACCTAGCTGTGTGACTCTGGGCAAGCCACTTAACCCTATTTGCCTCAGTTTCTTCATCTGGAAAATAAGCCGGAGAAGGAAATGGCAAACTACTACAGTATCTTTGCCAAGAAACCCCCAAATGGGGCCAGGAAGAGTTGGACACAACAAACAAGATACTCAACTAATTTTTTTTAAGGAGGGAGTCAAGGCTGGATCCCTCCCTACTCCCATCCCCAACAATTTTTTGTCTGTAGTTGTATAAGAGGTAGATTGGCACAGAATGCTGGATTTGGAGTCAAGAAGACCTGCGTTCAAATGTTACCTCAGATACTTGCTATGTGACCCTGAGCAAGTCACCTGACCTTTCTGAGTCTCAGTTCTCTCATCTGTAAAGTGAGGATGGGTACTAACACCTGTCACAAAGGGGACTGTCACAAAGATCAAATGAGATACTATAGGTGCAGTGCTTTGTGAACCTTCAAGAGACCACATGAATGTGACTATTGCTATAATCCCCAGTGTTCGACATCCTTTTTTTAGTGAGATTTTGGCTTTGGGATACAACCAAGCAGAATGGGACTTGAGTGTGAGAAGAGTCATTTCAATTCAATTAAACTAAATAAATGTGCTTTGAACACTTTCTAAGTTCAGAGCCCCATTGGCAGGATGAAGTGATCTCTCCTCCATCCCCAGCTTACAGTCTAG